TTCATCCCCCATCCACTCCGCTCTTTCATTCTTCTCCCTCCCCCACTGGAACCCTCTTTATGCCTGTTTTTTTTGTACTTTATGTCAAGAGATTTTTTTGTGAGTTGTCAATAATACATTTAGGAGTAGTGAAAACAAAATTGAACTAAGAGTGAAAAAAATCTTCCCCAATTTAGGAGAAGTGGAAGAATGTAAGCTCTAGAAAAATTCCAGTCACATGAAACCGGAAGTCTATTCCACTTTTAGCTACTTCTTAAACATGTACCTGGCAACCTGGCATGAATATAAATATATAGTCCCCCCTTGTAAAGTAACTTAGGAAGCTTATAAAATAGGTTTCCAAACATGTTCAGTGTTAATATTCCCCCACCCCTTGCTCTAATTTACTCTCCCATCTCCGTTTTCCACTTAAACTAACTCCCATTGTTTCCTTCTCCTCCTCCATACCACCTGTGTTATACTATCCTCCCTTTCTTAAAACATTGCTAGCTTCTACAGGTATTAGAAGTTAAACATACAAGTTTAAAGATTCAAAGCTAGAATCCACATATGAGAGAGACTATATAATAGTATTTGTCTTTCTTGGCCTCACTGTAAATGTTCCAGCTTCATCCATTTACCTGTGTATTTCACAATTTCATTTTTCTTAATAGCTGAATAACATTACAATGTGTTTATGTATCACACTGTCATTATCCATTCATCAGTTAATGGGCATCAAGGCTGATTCCATTTCCTAGCTATTGTGATTGAAGCAGTAATGACCGTCAATAATCAAGTATCTCTATAGTAGGTTATAGGCCATTTGGGGTATATGATCAAGAGTGGTATATCTGTGTGATCTGATACATCTATTTCTGTCTTTGATGACCCTCTACACTGAATTCCTTCGTGGCCGCACCATTTTCTAGTCTTACCGATAGTGAATAAGGGTTCCTTTTTTCCAACATTTTTGACAGCATTTGTTGTCATTTGCTTTCTTGGCCTTTGTCATTTCTGACTGGGGTAAAAAGAAATATCAAAGTAATTTTAATCTGCATTTTTTTCCTGATTGCTAAGGTTATTCAACATATAACAACATGGTTATACTTTTCAACAAAAGTATACAGAAAATGTCCTGTGTGAACTTTCCCACTTGTTCACACTTCCCACATAGTATATACTTATACTTCTTTTCATCTCAATGTATATTTTTATTGAATTTTTGTGCATTTCATACACTACATATTAATTATATTTAGACTCCCCTCTGCCATCTGCACTGCACGCCATAGCTGTCCCCCCACCAGATTTCATGCATTTTGTCATATATATGAAGACCTATTGAGTCAAGTTTGTGTATCCAGATGTCCCTTAGTGTAATTTCTTTTTTTTAATTTTATGTGTATATGTATTTTGCCTGCATGTATGTAAGTGCACTCATGTCATGCAATGCCCATGGAGAACAGAAGAAGGTATCAGATCCCCCTGAAATGGAGTTACAGACAGTTGTTTGCTACCATGTGGGTACTGGGATTCGAACCTGGGTCTTCTGCCAAAACACCCAAGTGTTCCTAAGCGCTGAGACATCTCTCCAGCCCCCACCACAATGTAATTTCATCCACTGGGGTCTTGTCATCCTACCTAGAGTCTTTCCCTTAAAAAAGATCAACTTTCCCCGACCCAGCCATAATCACTTGGCAATAGTTCTTTGGCTAAGGTTGAGTCTGCTGCCCATTTCCCCAGTTCCATGCTATGTTTTTGTCTGATTGAGTTTGTATGGCTCTTGCATACGATACTGTATTTCTTTGTGAGAATTCAGTTTGTTCATTTCCATAGGCAAATTTTTATGACGGTACAGTGCTCAGCTCTAAATTTTACATCTCTATCTCCTTACCCCAAGACTTAGTAAACATTGTGGAAGTGGGTGCAGGATGTTTGTAAGAGTTATTGGAAGTTAAGAGCTTCTGAGGGAGGGGAAGTCAGTTTTCTTTATAGATGTGGCCACTGGTAGGTTTTCCGTGCTTCAGTCAATGGGCTTACACCCATATACAAACAGATAGCATTAACTGGACTCAGTGGGCTATTAAAAATAAAAAGAGGACATTAAGTTGGAAGGGGACCCAGTGGAAGCAGTTTGAAAGGAATTGGAGGAGGGAGTTGATGTCTATACAATCAAAATACATGGTGTAGAGTTATGGAATTCTCAAAACATAAATAACCTTTTTTTTTGTCTTTTTGAGACACGGTCTCCCTGTAGCCCCGTCTTAGAACTCACTATGTAGACCAGGCTGGCCTCGAACTCACAGAGATCCGCCTGCCCCTGCCTCCCGAGTGTTGGAATTAAAGTCATGTGCCACCACACCCGGCAAATAACCTATTTTTAAGAAAAGAAAATTATGAATTCTGCCTGGAATCATGATGTACACCTGTAATGCTGGCATGTAGGGGTGAGGCTGAAGGAATAAAGGTCTGAGTCCAGCTTAGGCTATCTGATGAGTTTGAGGCTAACATAGGCAACACAGTGAGATCCTGTCTTAAGAAAACCCACACACATTTTGTAGGATAAGCAAAAAGAAAGAAAGAAAGTTCTATAATTATATCTAGTTAAAATATTAAAATATTATGGGACTGAAGAGATGGCTCAGCAGTTAAGAGTACTGGGGCTGCTCTTGCAGAGAACCTGGATTCAGTTCCCAGCACTTACTGGCAGGTAACAGCTGTCTGTCACTCCAGTTCCAGGGATCTGATGCCCTCTTCTGACCTCCGTGGACATTGCACGACATGGGTGCACCTATGCATATGCAGGCAGTATACTCATACACATAAAATTTAAAAAATAATAAATATAATTATGTCTAGTATGCCCAGTATGCCCTATCTTGCTGGAACTATGGGAATGTATGTAATAGATATGAAGTAGTTGACATATTGAAAAATTTGTCTTTGATGAATGGCCATTATCATATAATTACTTTAGTCACAGATAATATCACCCTCCTCATCTGGTAAGATCTATTTATCTTTATTCAGAATATTCTGTAACTTTCTAAAACAATTAATGCCAAATAACAACACAACTCTCTTTAGTATGTAAGTCCATGTAAAACTTTCCCCACTTGTGGGCAAGTTACTTAGTTTGCAATGCGACACAGTCTTCCCCAGTTGAAAACAAGTCAAATTTCTAGAATTTGTGTCAAGGACCAGCAACTTCTCTCATAGATATCTTTCCACCCAAATCTCCCTTACTTTTTCTCATTTCATTTCATCACATGGAAATCTCCCTTGAGTTTGCCAAAGTAAGTTAAATTAAATAAATTAAAATATTATTTTAAAGCATTGAGATCTCTGTCTTTTAGTTTAGGATGAAGATGGCAATATGGATATGTCACTCAATGCACTTTCATCCTTATGCTCAGCAACTTCTAAGAGATAGATGTGCATAAAACAAGAAGATACTGCTGTGTGGTCATCTGATATTGAACAATAGCCCAGGACACCATTCATTTATGACCCAGGAGATTTTCTTCTGACTTATTCATGATACTCTGTGTGTGTGTGTGTGTGCGCGCGCGTGTGTTTTTATTTAAGTGTGTATGTGGGGGGGCACATGTGGAAGACAGAGATCAACCTGAGTTGCTGTTCCTCAGGCACTGTCCACCTTAGATTTGAGACAGGATCTATCACTGACATGGAGTTTGCTATTAGACTAGGTTGGCTGGCCTTTCAGACCCAGCGGTCTGCCTGTCTCTACCTGTTCAGTGATGAGATTATAAGTATATGACGCTATGACAAGCTTTATTACATGGGTTCTGTGGATCAAACTCAGGTCCTCCTTGTAAGACAACAAGCAGTTCACCAACTGAGCTGTCTAGTGAAAAAAATAACTCTCTTGTTAAAGATTTATTTTTAATTTTGTGTGTGTGTGTGTGTGTGTGTGTGTGTGTGTGTGTGTGTGTGCCATATCTGTGGATACCCACAGAGGCCAGAAGAAAGCCATGGTTACTCTGTAGCTAGACTTACAGATTGTGTGAGCATACTGGTGTGCATGTTGTGACTTAATTTCCCCATTTCCAACAGAATTAATATTGGTTAATAAACGAGTGACTATAAACTACTGTTTATAATATTTTATTATCATATACATTCTTTAATAATCTAAACAAATCCAATCTAAACAAATCTAAGTACAGCAAAGTGATATAAAGAGTACCAGGAACTAGGTTTTATGTTTTTATCTCTCTCTTCTTTTATTTCCTGTTTTATGATCTCACCTTTAACATTGGCTACATTTTTGATCCAGGTTTCAGCCACTGAACCAAGAAAACATTCCAAGTAGCAGACTGGTAAATTAAATCTGATATAGAGTTCTTCCTTTTCTTAGTAACTTAAAGGTGTTTCCATGCAACTTTTTCGAGTTTTAAGAAAACTATATTTCAACCCATTGAATACAGTTATCATTATTCATATGTAAGTGAGTGTGGAGTTCATTGAGAATCTACCAGTGGACATACCTCCAAAGAAAGCAACTGTCCCTCCCCCAGCAACCTCAAACATATTAAAATACAATAAATGTATAAGCAAATCACTGATCATTTTATATTCTAAAATTATTGAAAGCTAAAAATCTTGAACTACTGAAAAGCTTCTAATAAAAGAGACATTAAAAAAATTGAAGATACGTTTGAAATACATAACAGAAAAGAAAAAGAAACTCAGAGTAAAAAATATGTTGCACAAAACAAAAACAGGAATGCAAAGGTGATATGGAATGTGTTCCTTCCAGGCGTACGCTGGACACCTGCTACTTAGAATGCTCATTATCCCCACTTTCCACAAAGAATATCATTCTTAGACTTCAAACTTTGAAATATAACCTAAAATTTTAAAAAGTAGAATTTTAAGTTACTAATATACAACAGAAATAGAAATATTATATAAACATTCCATTCAGCCCCACAGTAGCATTCCACTGTTAAGAGGTTGACATATTTTTTGAACCCAAAATTGAAGAATTAGCCTTAGATATTACTCAGCATGTGAGAAGCTGCTGGGCATGGCTCTGGAATGGAATGTGACCTGGTTCTAGAAGCAGTGCGAGCCCTGGCTCTAGATCTGGCTTGGGCTCTTTCTTCTTCCTCTTTCAAAGCTTCTTCATACAAGGATGCATAGGAACTTGGTGTATTATCATGGATCTTGGCCCAAAACTCCAGGATTTACATCTTGCTTATTTCAGCATGAGCTCTTGAACCCCACATGAATTCATAGCATGGAGGATTGCTGTTGAGCACCTGGTAGTACTCCAAATATTTTAGCTTCATCAAATCTTCAGTGATGACCTTCTTAGGATCTCCATAGATGAAATGCTTCCTGTTAGCATATACACCCATCATATTCAGTACTTCCCAGATCTCTGTTTCAGAGACACATTTATTCTTCGTAAAGATCACACCCAGCACAATCATTAGGAGGCCACTATTGGGCATTCTTTCTTCACCCATCACTCCTTCAAGGCTGTGTTTTAGTTTGTTGAAAAGGGCATAGACATGCTTGATGGGATCCACTTCCTTCAGATCAACACCAAAGGCCAGTTCCATGTGATCTGTGGCTCTCTTTAGGATCTCAATGAAGTCATTCTTAGAAGATTTGGTCACAGACTTCAGCATATCTGCCTTTGAAATCGCCTCTTTTTTTTTGATACTTATCTATGAGGAACTGCACCAATAAGACTACTTTGTGGTTTAAATGATCTTTACACCAGTCTTCAACATTTTCAGAAGAATATGAACTTTCATCTTCCTTGCTGCAGGCACCTCCATCTAAAAATGTGTTCAGAAAGCTCAATTGGGCTCCCTGAGGCCTCTTGGGAAAGCTAGGCGTCCCAGGAGGAGTCTGATGTGGACAGCCGTAGAAAGGATAGTTAGAGGAGGACTCTTCTCCCTCCATTGCAGCGGCATGTTCACTCCGGGCCTGCTTTCTTTTCTCACGGGCACGGAGCTTACTCTTCTGGCCACGAGGCATGATGACTGTAGCGGGGTCAGCAGGCAGAGCCACAAACAGCTTCAGGAAACTGTCACCCTGAAAACAGAGGCTGAGATAATTTATACTGTAGCTCTTCGCAAATTTTGTTCCAAGAAAGGCTGCCTCTCCTGGTTCCCCTAATAGAGGGAATGGACCCAGTCTCAAGAGCATTAGGGGAACACCAATTAGACTGTATAGGCTTTAAAAAATAGAGAACATGAAATCAGGGGGTATAGTAAGGCGGGGGTGGGTCTGAGAGGAGTTGGAGGAGGGGGGGTTGAATATGATCAAAATACATCGTATGAAGTTCTCAGAATTTTTTTAAGTACTTATTTAGCAACCAATAAGAGAAGTGTAGAATGGGACCTTGTCATCTCAGTTCCAACTTACAGTATTAAACATTCCTCCTAAACAGTCTTGCCTCTCCATCTTATGCTGACTTGAGGCTGCCTCTTCAACCGGCAACATCTGACCCCTCCCACCCCATTGCCAAGCTAGAGAGCATTAGGCATAACTGTGGTAGTAGGAGCCACCCAGGTTTGACAGGAGACAGGGTACAGTGGAACAGATCTTTCCAAGAATGCCCTTAGTCTATGGGAAGAGTGGCCCAGCAGATACCTTGACACTGTGTAAGCTCCTAGGACTCTTCAACTGTCCTGTCAAGCCAAAGCCACCTGCTGCCACAACCAGTAGAAGAAAAATGGAAGTCAGTTTCATCCATTTCTGGTCTTGCCCACAAGGTCCTTCTGAAATAAATAACTGTGAAGACAGGGCTCTGTCAGTCAACTTTTGTTCTGAGGGAGGGGATTCCCAGAAATCTTGGGAAGTATTTTCTTTGACTTTTCACTGTTGTTGAGAGTTCTCACTCTCCTGAGCTGAATCTTCTTGCCTCAGATCTAGTATCTCATTTCACAGAGAGTTCTGACTATGAAATAAAGAGAAGCCTAAGCCTAGAATCTATGCTAGAGACCTCTCAAGAATGACAACAGGGGTTGTGTTTTGTGAGACAACTCTTGGTGGGTGGCTGATACCACCAGTTCTCACTTAGTATCTTACCTTCTTGTAGGTGCTGCACTACCTCTGAACTACTGAGTGAAGGAAATTCTCATCAAGTACTGAATCAAATCTACAAATAAATCTACAGAAAAGAAGTGTGATCGGTATCTGTTAAGCATAAAAAGACATGGTGTACTGCATAACTAGGGGCATTCTTTACCTAGTCTGTCAGTAAATTTTCATGTTGGCTTTAAGAATTTGTGTGATTTTGTTAATTGTATTTTTAGTAATAGTTTGGATGTTGCTGCCTTAAATGTTAATTTGAACTAATGCATAAAACAAGAATGTTATATATACTTATGGGGTATAGTGTGAGATTTTCATATGTGCATTCATTAAGTAAGGTTTAAATTAGTATAAATGTATCTATCTCTATAAACATTGTATTTACGGTAATGTATTCATTATACATAATATTTTCTCATAGCTGGTTTAAACAATGTATCATTTTTATTGATGGTCACCATATTGTACAATAGCACATCATAATTTCCAGTTCCTATATAATTATATTTTAGCACAGAATGATTGGCATTTGCTCATCTCTCATTCTCTCTAATTCTCCTACATCTTTGGTAGCCACCATTCCACTTCCAGGTTCTATATGGGAGCATTTAAAAGATAAGTATTCCTCGTATAAATGAGAACATAGAGTATTTATTTTTCTGTGTCTGGTTTACTTCACATATCATAATGATCCAAGTTCCATCTGTGTTGTTGCTTTGTGGGATATTATTTTAAAAAGCCTTTCTGATTGTAATGTTCACAAGTGTTTACCACCCTATGTTCTTCTAGTAGTTCTGTAGGTTCAGGTATTACCTTTAAGTCTTTAACCCAATTGGAGTTGGCTTTTTATCATTGGTGTAATATAAAATTTTAGATTTATTCTTTTGCATAAGAATGCACGTATAACATATTATATCTTTTTAAACACCATTTGTTGAAAATGCTGCCTTTTTCTAATGTGTGTTCTTATCATTTTTATTGAAAATCAGTAGAATGTTTGTAGACTATTCTGTTTTACTGGTCTATGTATCTTTTTATGCAAATACAATTCTATATTGATCAGTTCAGCATTGTCATATATTTTGAAACCAGGCAGTATAATGCCTTGTGTTATCCTTACTTGTTTTTTAAGGCAAAGTGTAGCTACCTAGTCCTGGCTTGCCTGGAACTAGGTATGTAGCCAAAGTTTGCTTTGATGTCACGATCCTTTAACCAGGCTCCTGAGTGCTGAGATTAGAGATGTGGACCACTATGCCAGCTCCTGATTTTTCCTTTTGCTCAAGATGGCTCAGGGTATTTTGTGTTTTTTTGGTATTCAAAATGAATTTTATAATATATGGTTTCTGATTTGATGAAGAATATCACTAATTTCTGCTCTTTATAATGTTATGTATTTTCAAGTTGTTTTATGTTGCTATATTATTTTAGTGCAGTGATTCTCTGCAACAGATTTTGAATTTCAACATATATTTGAATTATTTGTATACAAGTTCCTTTGGAACTTTTTATCAGAAGGTCATATCATTTTTGAGTATTTATATCCTTTATTTTGGTCTGACTAGTAAAAATTTGTGTTATTTCTCTGTGTCTTGGCCTACTCAATATCAGAAAAGTCTTTAGTCCAGAAAGTTATTTGTTTCAGTAATTTTAAGTAACAAAGCCAAGATTACTCAAAATGAATCCATTTGATAACTGGCTAAATAATTAATTATTAATAAATTGCTTTGAAATAATCTATGTTAAAATCATAGTCTTTGTCAAACAAAATATTGCTCATGCCTACAGGTATTTATAATTTTAGGAAATATAAAATTTTACTATTTTTTAAAATCTATTTTTATTTGAAGAGAGAAATTTTCTATATTCTTTCATATAACTAACCAACCAATTTGCAAGTTGAGTGTGCTATTTTTTGTTTTAAATTTTAATTATGGGTATAGTAAGTGTTGAGTATTTTTGTTATCTAAACTTGTATGTAACTAATCCTAAAATAGATTGTTTCATCCCCATCCCCTCTGGGTTTACAAAGTTATGCAATATGGGGCCATGTTAGTGGACTTTATATAAATGTGGCTAGTGCAGGAATATCTCATTTGTTTGAATAAATGTATTAATGTGTTGTCTTCATATTGTAAAAGAGAATTTTCCAGATCCTCAATTCACTTACTAGCACATTAAATACTTAAATTTTTAGTGAATAGAATATTTACTTGACCATATAATTTTGGGGACATATTTCTAGGTTAACAAGTTTGGAAACAGAGAATGTGGCACAGCAAAGTTAATTAACCATGGATAATTTGTCTTGGGTTAGAAGCCTAGGATTATTACCATTCAGTTATCATAACTAATTTGTTTTTAATATCTATAATTTCCATCTCTACCATTCCCCCACCTTTCATACTCTTCCCTCAGTGATACAATAACATCTTGAGAAGAAGGTATCCTTAGTGATCTTACAACAGCCGTATCCTTTCAGTGATTGAAATTCTTGTCGATTTTGACCTTGATCCTTCTGTGGTCCAACTTGGATGAATTGTCCCCCTTTAAACCTGTGCTTTAAAATACATTTTCATTGATTTCAATGATCACCCTGACAGCGAACATCTGAAATTCTGATGGCATCTTTATCCTCATGCCTCATTCTTTTTGTTATAGAGATCTTTAGAATATCTTCTTCTCTTGTGTTTTTTTTTTTTTTTTTTTTTTTGGTCTTTTAGTGACAAGGTCTCCCTGTAGCCCCAGCTGGCTTGGAACTCACTTTTTAGCTCAGACTGGTCTTGATCTCACAGAGATCTGCCTGCCTCTGCTTCCTAAGTGCTGGGATTAAATGCACATGCCACCTTGCCTAACTCTGTTAAAATTTTTATGCTTCATCCCAGGTCTATTCAGGTTGAGTCTAACATGTATGATTATAGTTCTGGCCTCATGCTTTAAAAGCATCATAACTTAGTTATACCCTGACTTGTTTTAAATTTTAGATATAGTTTCAATATCTATGTCCTCTTGAACATCAGTATTATTCTGTGTGAGTCCTTATTAACAAATATTTAGGGTAAAGTATAAAGCTATTTTTTACTGAGTTGATGGGGGAGCCAATGAAAATACATGAGAAAATATTTTGTAATTGTTACAAATTACTAAAAACTTGTAAATATATATTGGAATGGTATGTGAAGAAAACATTTAAAAATTCTGTACTTTTCCTTTGAGATACACAATTGTTGAGTTTTCTATTACCTCATGACCAATTATGACATACCTAATGTGTTTAAATAGCAGCTGTTTTCTCTTATAATTTGTAGATGTATCATTTAGGTGAAGCTCATTTGTTTCCTCTGTTTAGGTCTTCAGTCTCTATGTGTTATCCTGTTGGCTGGGCAGCATTCCTATCAGTAGGTACTTGATAAGGATATACTTAAAGCATTTAGGGTGATGGTGGAATGAAGTGCCCTGAGGTTGTAAGCTGTATACTCTTACCCCCTAGAATCTGTGTGCTTTCCTTTCCTTGTGTCTATCTCCATTGTCAAAGCCAGCAGCGGAGTATTGCCTCAAAGTTGAATCTCCAACAATTTATATCCTTTTCATAAGGAAGATTCTTGTGCCTTTGAAGAGCTTACATTCTTAGACCCCCACCAAGGATAACGTCCCTTCTTTTTAAAAATATTTTTATTGAGCTTTTGTATATTTTTTTATAACGGTTCTTAATCAAATTAGGACCTCCTTCCCCAACCATACCCTCATAGCCTCATGTATTCTGCTGTACCATTTAACATAATCTAATCATGTTAGGGATCTGCCATTATATGCATAGGTTCTTTCTTCTCCAAAAGAAGATGATATTACAGAGGGTGTTATTGATTGCTGTCTTAAAATTCTGCATATGGTAATTTAAAAAATAGATTCTTGCACTTTCCAACCACAATAGTAGCAGTAGC